ATAGCCACGGAGAGCAGTGCGGGCTCCCTGCCCCGCAGCTACCTGTACGATGTCTGCTTCGCCGCCGGGACCGTCAACAGCGAGTTTCGGTTCCTCAGACCCCTCTTCCCCTGCTTCCCCGCCGGGCTGCCTCCCGGCCCGGGCGAACAGCGGAGCTCAGTGTGCTCGCAAGATGTGGCAAACCTCGGGGAGGAAGGCGACTGGGCTGCACAGGTGAGGGACCTGTCCGCGGGGGGAGGATAGGGGGATGTGTCACATCCTGCTAGCAAGGAAGATGCTGAGCTGCTAGTGGAGGGGTCCCTGTGGCAGGGGGAGGAGTTAAAGGAGGTCTCAGAGCCGCTGGTGGTGCCTCCCAGGAGGATCCAGCAGGGTTCAGCTGCTTCCCATATGCTGACTAACCTCGCTTCTCTGCATCATAGAAGCATAAGATAGTTTGGCTTGGAATGAACCTTTAAAGGCCATCGAGTCCAAACCCCCCTGCAAGGAGCAGGGACATCTTCAACTAGATCAAATTACTCAGAGCCCCATCCAACCTGACCTTGAATATTTCCAGGGATGAGGCATCTCTCACCTCTCCGGGTAACTGCACCCATATCTATGCTGAGTATTCGTGTTAAAGCAAGTCTTCAGTGTCACTGCAAAGGGGAGCAGCTGGACAACGAGAAGGTGAGAAGTAGAGGTAGAAATGTGTCTCCATTTTGGATCCTGCCCAAGCACTGTGTGGAGCCCATGGGGAGCAGGAATATACTGCTTCCAGGGACACATCCTCCCGGAGGCGGCAGTAGTGGGAATGTAGTGATCCTGTACAGTGTCAGATGAGGCTGCGGGGACAACTGTGCAAAAGGGTGTCACTTCACTGACAGTGTCCCCTGCACCGCTGTTAGGAGCTGGTGCTCGGCGCTGCCGAGTGCCATTCACCAGGGTGGTGGTGGCAGCGCTGAACTCAAGCTGCTCGAGGCTACGGAGGTGAGTACCTCTGCCATTCAATTCCCTTGTATTTTTGTGACTTGCATGAACAGTATCGGCGAGGAAAATGTGGTTATCGGGACTTTACAATGCACCCCGCAGTCTTTTCCTGACCCAGCCTGGTGCTCCCAGGCAGTACCAGCACTCTGTGAACTCAGAGTGAGTCACATCTGAGCTCCTGTTAACTTCCGTGTGTTCAAAGAGTGTGGGGGACACAAGAGATGATCACTGAAACTCCTCACTCTCTCATTGAGTCCAAGTTACCTCTAATACCGTCTTAAGTCGCCCCTTAACATTTTAGTATTTCATAACCACTTGAACTCACTTTACTGCAGGTTTTCAGAGCCGCAGTAGCTTCAGGGCAGACAACAACCCTTCTTGATACATCAACATTAAACCACATTTACTGTTTGT